CAGTGCAGTGAGAGGGTTTAATTTACTTGACTCAGCCAACTACCATTTGACTCCTCCAATACCAGGGAGAGAGTATTACACCTTGAGAACCACTAAGGCCGTATTACATTCAGACAGATCAACGATAACCGATCAGAAATAAAATGAACCAAGAAATCCTTGTACGAATCTTTCAATCTTGTATCTACATATGTCTATCTTCCTAGAATCTATCTCTCAACTTGAGTCCTGTCAACCAACACACGTCCATTCACACCAACGATAAGAATTGTTGTTAGCAGCCAACCACGCCTCCAAGTTAGTGAGTAATCCTACTATATCTAGATCTATAACCTAGATAAAAAAAAATCCCATGTATTCTCGAATTAGATGATTATTGAAGCTAAACAAAGATTTATATAAAATAATTAAGGCCTGAAATAGATTCTAGATGTAGAATTTACATTAAGTCTAGATCTAGAATTTACATTGAGTCTGGTGACCTAGATCTAGATCTAGATCTAGATTCTAGATCTAGGCTAGATTCATAACTTTCCATCGACAGCTGATCTTTAGATCTAGAGAAATTTATTGTAAAACTAAATGAAAAAAAGACAGTTGAAAATTGATAAAAGTGTTCGAACGTAATAAATACAGCAAACGGACGTATTGTTTAAGTTATAGCCGGCAGAAAATTAGCTTTGTAACGCGTTAAACTTTTGAATGGGCCACAAAGTCTATGATGGAGTCTGCCATTTTTATTGTACCAAAAAGTAAACACATCAAGGGACGTCACTATTCCCACAAAGTTTAGTCAATGTTTTAACATTTTAAAAAAAATGTGGTTAATCTACCTATGAATAAATCAATAAATTAATTAACGTCTTTAAAAAAAATTGTGATTTACAGTCTGTCTGCAATAAAAAATTATTCTCTACCTGCATACTATTTTACAGCTCTCCATATAGAGTAGAACCATTCACAATAGGCAATCAGACAAAATAATAAATATTCAAACATGTAAACAAAGTTGAGATATTCAAACATGTAAACAAAGTTGAGTTTTAGTAGTATATAGATAGATTGGAAACCTTTACTAATGATAAGGAAGAGGCTCACGCTTTTCTTTATAATTATTTTAATAGTATTCTATAATTTATTTTCTACTTGTTTGTTATTAAAACGTTTTTTTTGTGAATTTTTTTTTTCAGATTTTTACATGTTTTATTTACAATAGAGTTACATGACTAAAAACCATTGCGCGCCTACTGAACGTGATGGCGCAGCTATTGAACGTGATGACGCGTGAAGTGTTGCTGGAAAGACATGCCTACTAATTCGGTCCAAATTTTGATTAATTCACAAAAAATTAATTAGGCATCCAATTAAGTCAAAGTTAATTTCAGATTGCATTGTCTTCATGTCTTGACCCATGTGACAAATGTGAATCGTATCGGTCAGGTAGAAGTGTCCGAATTTTCACTCCGGCGTTTCGATCTAGACAGACTGGCGACTGACGACAGACTGACGAGGAAGTGAATTTAAAAAAAGCTTGTTAAAAAAATTCATAAAAAACGTTTTAATAACTAGCTTTTATGTAATATGTAATAATGCACTAAAAAGTAGAAAATAAATTACAGACTACAATTTATATAACTATAAAGAAAAGCGTGGGTCACTTTAGTATCTATTGGATACCATTACTAATGTTTAGGAAGACACCCACGCTTTTCTTTATAGTTATTCGAATAGTAGTCTATAATTTATTTTCTACTTTTTAGTGCATTATTACATAAAAGCTTGTTATTAAAACGTTTTTTATGATTTTTTTTCAGTACTTTACATGTTTAATTTACAATAGAGTTACATGACTAAAAACCATTGCGCGCCTACTGAACGTGATGGCGCAGCTATTGAACGTGATGACGCGTGAAGTGTTGCTGGAAAGACATGCCTACTAATTCGGTCCAAATTTTGATTAATTCACAAAAAATTAATTAGGCATCCAATTAAGTCAAAGTTAATTTCAGATTGCATTGTCTTCATGTCTTGACCCATGTGACAAATGTGAATCGTATCGGTCAGGTAGAAGTGTCCGAATTTTCACTCCGGCGTTTCGATCTAGACAGACTGGCGACTGACGACAGACTGACGAGGAAGTGAATTAAAAAAAAGCTTGTTAAAAAAATTCATAAAAAACGTTTTAATAACTAGCTTTTATGTAATACGTAATAATGCACTAAAAAGTAGAAAATAAATTAGAGACTACAATTTATATAACTATAAAGAAAAGCGTGGGTCACTTTAGTATCTATTGGATACCATTACTAATGTTTAGGAAGACACCCACGCTTTTCTTTATAGTTATTCGAATAGTAGTCTATAATTTATTTTCTACTTTTTAGTGCATTATTACATACAAGCTTGTTATTAAAACGTTTTTTTATGATTTTTTTTCAGTACTTTACATGTTTTATTTACAATAGAGTTACATGACTAAAAACCATTGCGCGCCTACTGAACGTGATGGCGCAGCTATTGAACGTGATGACGCGTGTGGTGTGGTTGGATAGACATGCCTACTTATTCGGTCAAAATTTTAATTAATTCATAAAAAAATAATTAGGCATCCAATTAAGTCCAATTTAATTTCAGATTGCATTGTCTTCATGTCTTGACCCACGTGCCAAATGTGAACCGTAATGGTCAAGTAGAAGTGTCCGAATTTCACTCCGGCGTTTCGATCTAGACTGACGACTTACGACAGACTGAGGACAGAGGAAGTGAGTTAAATAAAAGCTTGAAAAAATTGAAAACCATTTAAATTTTCATGCAATTTTTGCAGGAATTTCGCGACCACTTCTTTTTTTTTTATAATAAGCTAACCTTGATTTTTGTGTGAGTTAAAGTCTTAGTCTAAATATAATAAGCATTTAACAATATAATTTATGTGATTTCGTGACTGTGAAGTAGCTGTGACATCCAAGAATCAATCTTGCTACGATGTGTATCTGACGTGCATGAGGTCATATACGGTTTGCTGGGCGTTCTCTATCTTTCCACTATCATTATCGGCTCAGAAGAATTCGCCATCCACCAGGGCAGACAGGGATGCAACACATTCCGACTAACTGGCTTAGTAACAAAAGCTATAATTGGTTGATGTTGTCCGTCGTTTCTCGCCAGGCTTTACCTCCCTTCCATTGGGTGATGGAACCCCGTGTCTCACCACTCTATACCTGGCAAGACCGCGGGGAGTTCAATACATACGGGTCTATGCCATTGAGATCTAGATTTGTTTAGCTTATATTACGTTACCTTAGATTAGCTTAGCTTAGCTTAGATTAGCTCGGTTAAGCTAAGCATAGTCATTTAAGTTCAGGCTTAGATCTGATATCAGGCCAAATTAGGTTAGGTTAGGTTAGGTTAGGTTAGGTTAGGTTAGGTTAGGTTAGGTTAGGTTAGGTTAGGTTAGGTTAGGTTAGGTTAGGTTAGGTTAGGTTAGGTTAGGTTAGGTTAGGTTAGGTTAGGTTAGGTTAGGTTAGGTTAGGTTAGGTTAGGTTAGGTTAGGTAATTAGGTTAGGTTAGGTTAGGTTAGGTTAGGTTAGGCTAGGTTAGGTTAGGTTAGGTTAGGTTAGGTTAGGTTAGGTTAGGTTAGGTTAGGTTAGGTTAGGTTAGGTTAGGTTAGGTTAGGTTAGGTTAGGTTAGGTTAGGTTAGGTTAGGTTAGGTTAGGTTAGGTTAGGTTAGGTTAGGTTAGGTTAGGTTAGGTTAGGTTAGGTAAGGTTAGGTTAGGTTAGGTTAGGTTAGGTTAAGTTAGGTTAGGTTAGGTTAGGTTAGGTTAGGTTAGGTTAGGTTAGGTTAGGTTAGGTTAGGTTAGGTAAGGTTAGGTTAGGTTAGGTTAGGTTAGGTTAGGTGAGGGTCAGGTTAGGTCACGTCAAGTCACGTCAGGTCACGTAAGGTCAGGTCAGGTCAGGTTAGGTCAGACAGGTCAGGGCAGGTCAGGTCAGCTCAGCTCAGCTCGGCTCAGCTCAGCTCAGCACAGCTCAGGTCAGGTCAGGTCAGGTCAGGTCAGGTCAGGTCAGGTCAGGTCAGGTCAGGTCAGGTCAGGTCAGGTCAGGTTAGGTTAGATTAGGTTAGGTTAGGTCAATTTAGGTAAGTTTAGGTTTGGTTCGGTTAGATTGTTTCTCTAAATTATGCTTTCCAACCTTATATGAATGGTGTTTGTTTCGCTTGGCACCATTTATCAATTCCTTCGAATCGTTAAAGAGTTTTATTTACAGTTATTTAAATAATAGTGTAATATTATATAATTTAAAGAAAATAATTTATTTTCTTCTTTTTATTGCACGATAAAAGCTTGTTATTAAAACGTTTTATATGCATTTTATTTGTGTTTATGCGACTGAGCGCACAATCATGTTGATAAGCATGTTGAGATTGTCTAACTGTTCTGTTTAGGTAAAATAATATTACAGTTTCATTTTTCTGTTATATTTGCCATCGAATATTTCAGAGTGTCTGGTTACAAAAATACAGTAAAATAA